ATGCTTTGAGTGGTCACCATTTTTTAAAAGACAAAAATAGAAAACAAAATTCCCTGCATTTTCCCCGTTATTTAAAGTGATTTTTAAATTCCCTGTATTTTCCAGGTTTTCCCTGTTCTCCATGTGGGTGGCAACCCTGTTGTTATCTTTAATCAAGTCAAAAATTAAATTAACTAACAAAAGTGTCTTTAAAGAAAGAAAAACTATTGAAAAATTCCCAACATCGAGATTATTACTTTTCCTTAGTAACAAATTGTGCTTGCTTTAGTACCACAGGGTCTCTTAAAAAAAGTTATGTTATACAATTTCATTTATGTTATGTACAGAATTCTTGCTCAATATATATTAGTGAAACAGAAATTTAAATCTCAATAAACCACACCTCATAAGATTTTACTAGAAACAAAATTTTGCAAAAAAATCTGAGAGCCCTTCAAATTATTCATGACGGAAATTCCCGATAGAGTAAGTATTGGCTTAAAAAAATGAATCTCATGATAAGTGTTTTTTTTTGTTGTTTTTTTTAATAAATTTATCAGTGGCTCTCTTTCATAATTCCCCAGTGTATAACTTAAAATACATTTGGATGAGGTATATTTTTACTTTATTTCAGTGCATACATTTTAGAAGGGAAAAATGAGCCAAAAATCATTAACTTGTTGAAAAAACAAAAAAACGTAAATCAAAGAGATGTTCTCTCTTGGAGAGAACTTCTCTTTGATTTGTTCTTAAGAGAAGAAGAATGTTTTCTCTTTAAGAAAAGGAAAATTTTTGGAGGCCCATAGAATAAAAAGTAAATACTTAGACAGAAAGATCCAGTTTACCACATTAATATGCTAAGCAATCTATGTAAAAAACAGAATAATTTTCCTGGTAAAAATCTTAAAATTATCACAGTGATTTTTTTCTTCATAAAGTGTAAGATGGGTACAAGAAAAGAGTAAAAATTAAGTATTTTATTTAAAATGTTAATTTTTTTAACATATTGTGAAAAAAATAATTAGACTTAATTTATTTTAACAATTTAGCAATATTTTGTTTTCTATTTTTTAAATTATGTTTGGGTACAACATCAATTTTTAAAAATAATAAGATAGATGTGGAGAAAATAATATGTTTAGCTTGCAGAATATATTGTTTTTATTGAAAAAAAAATGTTTTTGTGTGTTACTTTAAGTAGTTTTCACTCTAAGTGTACCAAAAGGCAAATACAGAGTAACCCAAAAACCTTGGTAACTATAGTTTAATATCTTTTCTGTAAGCAAAAGAAAATAATTCCAGGCGATTGTACATCAATAGTTTTTAATATTTATTCACATTTCAAAATTAAGCCATTTTACACTGTATTTTATCCAAATAGTGCTGTTAATAAAATTAATTTATTATATTTTCGTTAAACAAATATCTAAAGTCAAATGTTTAAATAATGTTATTTGTTCTGAATTAGATTTGATATTTTAAGAAATATTCAGTATTCAAAAATTCTCAAATGCAAAATCTTTAAATTTCTTGTTGCATTCTCTCTCTATATATATAGATGAAATAAATAAAAACAAAAATAAAAACAGCTAAAATTTCTTAATTTTATTCTTATTTGAAATTAAAATACTTAAAGAATTACAATCTAACCATATGATTCTTTAGTTTATATAAGTTGACTGATTTTGTTTTCACAACTAGAAACCTGTACCTGTAAAGTGTAGAATAAAAAAATAAAGTTTTCAGTTTTGGAAATATCATCTCTGGAATGCAAACAACATTTACGAACTTTCGACATTACTACACTAAATGGTAACATATGATTGGTTTTTAAAATAAACTTTTTTTTAAGTTAAAAAAAGGTTAAAATAAAATCATGAAAATTAGCATTATTGCAATAATTTGTCAACAAACATTGCTCTTAGCGATTGTAAGAGAATGTTATTGGTTGGCTTTGCTAAGAAAAAAATAATTCACGAATTGCAGTGGATGAGAGTACAAAAGCTTTCAGAAAAAGAGTGCAACATAAAATCTATTATTATTAAATTATAAACAACTAATTTTTGGAGAATTTTATTAAGTTAAAAATACCAAAACATTTTGTCAAAAAAGAAAAAGCATGGATTTATCCCACAGTAAAAAAAAAACACACAAAAAAACCTAAACTTTATCAGGGGTAATTGCGGCAAAAAGTGATAAACCCTAAAAATTTTATGTGCAAAAAATCAAATTCAATTTCTATATTATACATGTTTAACATAACATTATGAAGTAACATTCATAATTAAATTACTTACTAATGCAGAATATCACACCTTTAAACTAACTAATTCAAGAAAAACACTTATTTTTTACAAGAATCGCGTAATTGGATTTTAAAATTGCATGAATATTGAATTTTAAAACAATACAATACAAATCCCAAAACTGGATTTTAAAAAAGCGTAAATGTAAATCATGACATTGGATTTTTAAATCAAGTAGGGGAGAGTTGGATAAAACGGGATAGTCGGACAAAACGGGATACCTCGCCTAGGGACCAGACTATTGCAGCTATCTAGCGGACGAGGACAGAAACTTGTTATTTGACTGTGATTATATCATTTTTAGTGCGTACAGTCTCGAGATCATTAGTTGATAGAAAGTTGTAGGTCTCAGAACTTTTTTACTCCATTTTTTTGCCACTTTCTACATTTACGTGCGTTGTTTTTCACATTGTACTGCCTATATATATAGGATTACAATTCCGGCGAGTATTACATTTGATGAACCATTTATTAACGAGTATTCTCATGTCTAGTCAATCTAATTTTTCTTTCACGTTTAGGCAGCAGCCATGTTTGTTTTGAAAAGTGTCTGAGTCTGACAAAACGGGATACTTATGAGTTGGATAAAACGGGATAGAGTTTTTTTATATCCCGTTTTATCCACCTATTTATTTGTTGGCCTAATACTTTTACTATATTATTATTACTATATTGAAAGAAAGGTAAAAAAGGCTCGTACAAATACATTGACCCCTGGATTGGCAGCAGTGAAAAAGTTGGACATATAAGAGACAATATCAAAGTATTCAATGCTGAACAAGAAAAAACGCGTGAGCATGTATTGGCTCTAGAAGAGAGATTATTTGGTATAACTCTAACGGACATACGAATGCTAGCATTTGAGTTAGCTGAGAGAAACAATATTAAGCATAATTTTAACACAGGGAAAAAATGGCTGGGAAGTGTTGGTTGCAATTATTTCTTGGTAGGCATGAAGAACTTAGCCTCCAAAAACCAGAACTTACGGGTATGGTCCGAGAAAAAGGGTTTAATCGCACTGCAGTTAAATAGTTTTTTGAACTTTTAAATTCTCTATTAAGTAAACATAGGATTACTCCAAATGATATTCCAAATGACGACAGTGAAAATGATGGAATAAGTGTTCATGGTTGAAAACTCATAAAATCTTTAAAAACTTATATAGCATCATTATTTTTGTGTACTTAATTATAAAACAACAGTTTATATAAAAATGTTAGAAGCAGTAAAATCCCATAAATAAAATTTTTTAGAAATTTTTCTTTACAGTTTTCTGTCAATTAATTATGTTTTTAGTTAGTTTTACGCAAAAAGTTAAACATTGTAAGCCCTATCCCGTTTTGTCCGACCCAGGTATGCTAAAACGGGATATGCAAGAGTTTGGAAAATGATTTTTTTTTCCTATTTCACAGTCATTAAAATTAGTTTAAAATATGTTTTTTCTGAGCTTCAATAAGTAATGTAGCTATAAAAGAAATAATGTGTCGTTCTATTTAACAGATTTTCCCTAGTAAATAAAAACAATAATGGTATCCCGTTTTATCCAACCTTCCCCTAAATACTAATCGCAATGTGTATTTTTTAAATCAGGAAAATACGAAAATTGATGCTTGACACTAAAATCCCATAAATTAGAATCCAAATATTAGCAGATTCCAAATATTTAAAGAGGCGAAAATCCACCAAACCAAAAGAATCACGTAAGACGTAATTCTTCATGTAATTATCGAAAGAATGTATGTAAACGTCTCGCTAACGGAGTATAGAAAAAGCTTCACAATTTTGATGGATTATGAGTTTTGGTTCACGGAAGTTGCAACCAATGGTCTCGATTTATGCAGTACTGAAAACAAATTCTGCAATATTTGCGCAAAAATTGGATGCCCCGCTCCTAGTTTTCAGATCCGGAAGAATGATACGAAAAACCCAGAATTTTGGGGTACCCGCGGAATACAATTAGTACCTCTGTTTTATAAACAGAAGCAAGTATCCTAACATCTTCTTCCACCTCCACCACAATCTTTCCCTTTCTTAAATTGCATAGTCCCATAATCTCCAAAAAGGTCAAAGGTTTCTTTAAACATTTATCAACCATGGCAGAGTTTTAAGTGGGATTCCAGTACCCTATTAAGCGTTATAATGGAGCAAATTTTCATGCAGGTAGAGCATTGCTAAGTATATAAAATATTTCAACTGTTTGGAGCTGAATTTTTGTTAGAAAAAGTGGGTATAATGAATGGTAAAATAATTTAAATTGAGAAACTTAGTAAATAACATATAACAGTAAAATTAAGAAAATCGATGAAATTAAAATTAAGGAACTTAGTAAATGACTTATAACAGGAAAATTAAGAAAATTGATTAAAAAATTCCAGCTTTTTATTAAAATCCCCTGATTTTTCCAGGTTTTCATCCAAATTTTCCAGTATAAAAAAAACCCTGATAATTCCAGGTGAGTAGCCAACCAGAAAAAAAAAGAACAAAATTCAGAAGGACATGAGATTGAAGTGAGTTGAAAAACTCTCTTGTGACATGGATAGTTCTATGATTATGAAATCGCAAAATTCAAATCGATTCACGAAACGAGGTGTACCAGACGTGCTATTTTTCGTTTCAAATAAATATTTCCATTTTAATTTATTGACTTCGGAATCACTCTACACTTAATCATGTGAAGGGCATACTCAGAAAAGATAGTCAATTACCATAAGAGAATGTAGGCAGGCACGAAAAACCATCCAGTTAGAAAGAATCTCAAGGACTGCAAGAAATGAGGGAGTTTTTCCAATTGTTCGGTCAAGACTGCACTCATAGAATCGTAATATCGAAAAGGACTGCAGCCATAGGATGGAGTGATTCTAGTGAAAGAAATTCCTTCTTTAGTATTTGTTTCAACAAAGGCAGACATTAATAATATAAACACTTCTTTTTATAAAAATATTAGGAACATAAATAAAAGAAAAATTTACGTTTTTTTTCTTTCTACAGTTCCCTGTCCAAATTTTTAGATGCACAATAAGATTCTCCTAAAATCTTAATTATCAGGTGATACTATACAGCTTTATTGTTTTTACGAGACTGTTTCAACTTGTTTACGTTCGTGCATCAATTGGTTAAATGAGACGATGTATAACATAAATTCGAAAATTGGATAAATAAGACGATATATTATGTAAACATAGAATACTTATAATATCAGGTATTATATTAGTATTTTATAATAATTAGACGCACTGTAGTGTTTTAATAGTGACATGATTTGCACGCGTTTATAGGCAATACTTTTATATTTAAACGTACATGTAATGGGTTTTTATTCAGAGGAATTCTTATATACTTCCTCTATTTGTATTTATTTTTAATGTGATGCATTACAATGTTAAACAATTGATACACAAACGTAAACAGGTTTCAGTCTCACAAAAACAATGAAGCTGCATAGTATCACCTAATAATGAAAATTTTACATAGAATCTAATTGTGCGTCTAATAATTTGGCCAGGGGACTGTAGCTAGGTGCTGTGTTAGTGACAGCTTGTTTTGATTGTGCCCATTTGAGTGTTAGAAAATGTCATTCATGTGACAAGGGGAAATAAAAGCCTTTCATAGGGTTGAATTATTTTGTTTTTAGGTTTAGATAGCTTGAAATAAAATGTTCTTTTAAGTCATTTTTTTTCAATGCTAATCAAATATTAAAAATAAGACAGCACATATAAAACTGATGTATTTTACAAGTGAGTCCCTAATCACATTTGAATATTTCATCAAAAGAAAGATCAACTTACTTCCTGCAAGTGTAAAACTGAATCGTCACAACTATGAGAAATGTTATCATTAATATAAATATGTACACGGAATTGAATCGAGAAGCTTTGTAGATAGTAGTTGCAGGCGAAGAATACTTCATGACAGTAGCCTAAAAATACATTGACAATTGGTTGGAAGAATAGAGACAACTTATTTGGCATATTAAAGAAAAGTAATGAAAACTTATATTTAAAAAGCGCTCTATCGTATTCCAGTTTTAAAATCTTTGCCAATTCATATTTCCTAGAGCCCCTGAGGTCGACTCGTTCGCCATTTCAGAGCCAAAAACTTTTCTATAATGCAGAAGAGTTAGAAGATTTGACAATTTATCGCCGCAAACTACGTTAACCTTGACTAGGATAATCAGTAAAGAAAAGTAAGTTATTGACAAGTTATGTAAAACTTTTTTTATAGTTGAATAAATTCACTACAAAATTTATTATTATTGTTATTTAAGATATTATTCATTACTAGAAAGAAACAGTCTATACAAATTTTTGGTTTCTTAATATTAATAAAATAAAAAACTAAACAAATGGAGAAGAATTGCATTAGATTATCTAAAACTGATCCTGTTTTTTTGGCAACTTATTCTTGACAGTTTTTTATTTTTTGGAAGAATTAAGGGACATTTGTTGGAATAGCATCATTAGTTACCATCTTTCCTATCTAGTTCACATTAAGATTCTTCAAAATGAACCTGCAAAAATATTTTAAACACTTTTTTTTAATACATACTTCAATCACATTAAAAGATTTGGAGTTAGAATTTTGCAAGCATACTCTCATGAACTTTTCTACAACAGAAACAAATTATCTAAGCAACTTAACACATGAATTTGAAGAAAAAAATTTATAAATCCAAAAATATGTGATAGGTTGCACACTACACAGATTGTTTATTAGGAATGTGAACAATCCATTTGAACTAAAACCATAAGAGCCATTTCTGTGCAAAAGAAGCTCTAAACAACTTTTAATTTAGTTATAAAAGAAAGAAAATTCACCCAAAAATATTCTTAAGCAAACAATTTAGAATGAACATAAATAAGTTTATGTTAATATATCGTTTTTTATTTGATGTTTACAAAACAATCTTTTTTTACACTTTTCTGTTATTGATATTTGAATTTTAAAAAAATCTGGAATATCAGAACAAAAATTACGAATCAGGACAAGTTTTATTCGGAATTACGAGAACAACTACTATTTGTGTTAGATACATAGCATTAATGTATTGAAGTACCATCTTTGTAGACTTTATTTACAAAATCTTTTTTTATGTCCTTTCAAGTTGTGAGACAAATTGTCAGTGTTATTCACATATATTAAAAGTTGGTGCATCTCTTTTACGAAAAAATATATTCATTATTCAAAAAAACATATAATTTGGAACAAAATAGATCAGTTTGTAGTATAAGTGAATATCAATGAAAAGATTAGTAAAAATAAAAAAGCAAATATCTCATAGCATAGACACCCCTCAGTGAGCACTGTGTTAGGGAAGTGTTAAGATTTTCTATATGATGTGCAAGAACTTCTTTAAATATAGAGTACATACTTATTTTGTATCAAACATATTCTAATACAACTCTACATAAATTACATGTTATTAAAGTAGCAATTTAACCAATATATATAATAATAATTCTAACTAATATACATTATAATAGTTATTAACTAAGTTTATAGTGACTTTGCTTATCTTTCTGAGAGAAAAAAATTCTAGGAAGTTAAACTTAGCAATTTTTTTTTTAATTTTCACAATTCAAACTATTCTTTTTTTTAAATTTTTTAACACATTATTTTGAAAACTTTTTTATTCATCATATTGTTACAGAAGATCAGGATTTTTGAAATTTTTTTTTTAAAAAAGCTATTTTATAATTAATTAGAAGTTCACCATGAACATTTTTACGTAAGGGTTACTTTTATATAAAAGAAAACTGCTAAAAAAGGTTGAAATATAAAATCATTGTTCAGTAGAAGTTTTTAATAAATTAACATGATTAAAAGTCTATCATATCGAAAGGCCCTCACTATAACAATACATCCCTCTACAACAATATATTTATTTGGTCGCCAAATTATTATTGTAGCGAGGCTTTACATTATAAAAACTCTCCTATTTCTTATCTAATGGTGCAACTTAATTTTTTTAAAAAAGAAATTAATAAAGAAGAGTAGCAAACCTTTTTGGTATAGAACAAAACAATAAATTTCAATATCAACATAAGAGGAAGTAAAGGAGAATATAATACACCAAGCCTGTAAATAAACAAATACCTAATATACATAAAACGTTATTTTATACTTAATGTAGGGTTAAAACTTACAGTTTCAATATAGCATTCATGTTTAAATTTAAATTTTATTGCCTTTCTCATAATTCAGGGTGCATAGCCAAATCTTTCAACAAAAAATAAGCACCTTTTGAGTACTTTTTAAGCACTTAAAAAATGTTTTTAAGCACTATATACATTCACAAAATGCAAAATAATTTTCAAAGACTTTACATAATCATGATAAAATAAATAGTTTCTGACAAAGAACTCTTTCCTGGAATACATTAGCCATTATAAAATGATCCAGAGATTTTTCGGTTCAATATCAGAGGAAGGAAAATAAGTCTGAAATTGAGAGTATATTGCAAAATGCAGCAGAATTGTACATAAGAGATGAATAATCTCACAGAACTCAGGTCAGTAGTCTTAGATGCAGACTCGCAAGTATTTCATCTAACATGTAAAATGATTGGCGCTTTCATACCCTATGGACCGACGATACGCCAATATAGATTATAGTTGAATGAATTGTGCAAATATTGAATAGAACTATGTGAAAAGCACGCTTTGGGATAATAAGTGACAAAAACTGATATGGTAAAAAAAAATATCATTTCAAAAAGGGAAAGTTAAGCACATTTTACTTTGGGCCTTTAAGGGCTTTTGAATAACAAAAATAAGCACCTTTAAACACTTTTTAAAAACACTACGCATCCTGCTAATATATAAAACGTTATCTTTTACTTAATGTAGGGTTCAAACTTACAGTTTACATATAGCATTCATATTTAAATTTAATTGCTTTTCTCAGAATTTTTTTTTTTTTTTTACAAACTTTTCATTTTTAAAGGAAGAAAAAATATCTTGAAGTAACTGTTTAAAAAGGAAGTGACATTTATGCTTTTGCATTTGATTTTAAAAGCCACAACATTTCAAATATTAAAAGATTTACACAAAAAACCTGATTAGTATGTTAGTGTTTCTTTTAAAACCTTGAAAAATTTTAGAAATAATTTTTGACTTCACTTCCATAATGAAAATCGTGAAGAGCTAGTTAGTACTTCTGCAGAAGGAGTCACTTGAAAAAACATGCCACCAAAGTTTAATTTAAGCAGGGTTGCCACAGAAAAAAATGAACAAAATAATTGCTTTTAGTAGTCTAAAACATGAAAATTGTAGCCAAACATTAGGAAAATAGTTGCCTAAATAAGAAAAAAAATTCATCAAAAATATGACTAAAATTTTGTTAATGACTTAATTGTCATATACCATGATCCATTCAGTCAAGTTGGTGGCAAATATGATAATTTTTATATAAACGTAAATGTTTATATATATATATATGAAAAGTGATTACTCAAATTCGAAATTCACGGATCGTAATATCGTATTAAAAATGGCTTTTTTCTTTCTTTTGAAAATCATGTGGAATTCCGTAGCAATAATCATTGAAAAGACGATCGAGAAATGAAATAGACTTACAACGGAATCTGTGCAGATTGAACGAATTAAAAAGTGAAAATATCTGGTAAAAAAAAAAACGGTAAAAGTGATTGAACGAATTAAAAAGTGTTTGCAATTTAAAATTTCAATTTTTTTTTATTTTTTAAGAAAAAAAAAGTTTAGTGTGTTCAGAAGCTATCTTGTGGCGTGCAGATTTTCCACCCAATTTATGCGTAAAAAAAAAAAAACATTGCTAGGAGTACAGAAAAGTCTCCCAATAGTCTCCTTTTCCTGAAAATAGTTGCTTTTTGAGCCTTTTCAGGCAAAAATAAATTGCCATAGTCGTCTCATGCCAAAAATAGTTGCATTTTAGTCGCCTGTGGCAACCCTGCTTAAGTCATTCTTCTAGACAATCGAAGGAGGAGGTGGGGGAAATCGCTTAACACCATTAGACTTAGAATAACATTAAATCAAAGTAAGATATTGCAATTATCTTTGATTCTGGTGTTAATTAATAATTTTATTTTTCTCTTCTATATGAGTAAATATACAGGTGATTATCAAAATAATGGAAACACTTTGAATAAAAGGGACATTTAAGAATTCGCTTCATAAGCATTAAAATATAATCTTAGCTACCAGTTTTTTTTAATATAAAAGTACATATATTAGGTGGTATGAGAGAGCTTTAGCAGAGTTGTCTACGTTTTGATTGTCAGACCTCACAGATTTTCAGAGAGGCCAAGTTGTAGGAGCCCGACTAGTTGGAGCAACAGTGACCGAAACATCTCAGCTTTTAGGCGTTTCTAGAGGTACGGTGTCTAAAGTCATGACAGCATACACACAGCGAGGAAAGACAAGCTCAGCAAAGGAAAATAGTAGACGGAAGGAGAAGCTGAGTGAAAGAGACAGATGGATATTGAAGAGGATTGTAATGTCTAAAAAGAAAACAACTGCAGCCAAAGTGACCGCAGAGCTCAATCAGCATCTGGATTCTCCAGTGTCAACAATTACAGTTAGGAGATACCTTCATAAAGAGAACATTTACGGCAGAGCAGCAATTCTCAAGTCTTCAAAATCTAGGGTGTTTCCATTATTTTGATAACCACCTGTATACAATTAGAATTTTTCTCTCATTCCCTTCCATTTCACAGAGTAGTCATAAAATAAAAAAGAGGAAATCCAAGAATGAATATATATACATGTAGAAGCTATCAAAATTTGACAAAAAAAAGTGCAATTTTTAAACCATGTGATTATAAATCCCGATGATTAATTTAAAAATTGTATGAATATGAATCACATGCACTTTTAAAATCGTGTGAATAAGTATTGCAATATTTGATTTTAAATTTAGAGATTATGAATGCTGATATGTGGCTTTTAAATCACTTGAATTGGATTTCAAAAATACGATATTTTGAAATCCAATTCAAGCGATTTCAATTTTTAGATAACATAAATAAGAAAATCCATATTTGATATTACATGCTGACTGCATAAATGATTCCCGACACTGGATTTTAAAAATACGTAAATACAAATCGCGATATTGGATTCTTAAATCTTGTAAATGAGAATCACAATGTACGATATTTAAATCGCGTGAATAAGAATGGCAATGCGTAACTTTTAATTCAGGTAAATACGAAAATCGATGTTTGATATTAAAATGGCGCAAATAAGAATCGAGATATTAGCATATTCTGGACTTGGGATTTCTTAAATGCCTTTTTAGTATTGCACAAGATTAATTGAATGAGCATATAAATATTTTCACCGCAAATCCTCCGCTATTTATTTATTATTATTTCGTTTGCTTTCGTGCCATCAAACAGCGATGTCTGAATTACAGATATACGAGCTAAATACGTAAAATTTTATTTCGTGTGCGTAAAAGTGGTGAAAATAGCTAAAATAAGTAAAAATGAGGAAGGGTTGGCAGCTACGAAGTTTGAATTTTTTTTTTGTTTATCTTTGAAAATCGGAAATAAATATCATTTCATTTCAACGACTGAATTTTCAGAAAAAGAGGAATATTTATAAAAAAATCGAAACTTTTAGAGAATCAGAGTCTTTGATAAAAAAGGCTGAAATTCGAGAGACAAAAGTGGAAATCCGCTAAATAGCGGAAAAATCTCGTCCCTTATTTCAAATCATCCAAGTAGCTCTGCAACATAAAAACCTAAGGCCATCATCAAACATAGCCGATGAGAAAACATCTTACATGATTTACTACCAATGAAAATATAATGGGAACACATTAAACAGCCAATGAAAAACAATAATCAGGGTGGAGCTGGAAATGCCATAGGGCATCATGAATAATATTTGGCTCATTTAAGTTCATTTGACATTGAATGTTGAGATTCATCGACTGGAGATATAATTTCTTTTAAAAAAAGTAATAGATAAAAGAATACCAAGTAATTGTTTGCAGATAAATAAGAGCCAAAATTTCTTGAGGTAGAACAAATTGAGCACTGCCAATCCATCTCGTAAATCTATTATCAAACTTCTTTGTTATATAACTGAAAAGGAAAAAAAAATTATTTCACACAAGTTTCTAAAATATTTTAGTAATAGTTACATAGTTTTATGAATAATTTCTAAATATATAATGTGCGAAAAATCGATATTAATTTATATACTATACATGTTTCATATGTAACATTTATAATTAAATTACCTATTAATGCAGAATAAAATGGGCAGGTCACATAATCAGAATCGACGAAGACCGTACCACAAAAAGAGTTTTCAATGCCAGACCAGTTGGCACACAAAAAAGAGGCAGGCTGAATTTGAGATGGATAGATGGCCTAGAAAAAGACCTTTTGGTCTTAACTAAAAACTGGAAAACACTAGCAGTAAAGAGGTAAGCCTGGAAAAAACTTCTTGAGAAGGTCAAGGTTCAGGCTGGGCTGTCGAGCCATTGATGATGAAGATGGTTGATGCAGAATATCAGACCTGCAGAGTCGCAACACATAGCTTTCAAATCAGGTAAATATGAAAATCTATGTTTGCTATTAAAATTGCGTGAGTAAGAATCGCAATATTAGCAGATTACAGCATAGTTCCAAGTATTCAAAATGAAAAAAATCCGCAAAAGAATCATGTAAGACTTAATTCTTTACATAATTAGTGAAAGAATGTATGCCTCGTTAACGGGATTTAGAAAAAGCTTAAAAATTTTGTCAGATCACAAGTTTTAGATTCGTTAGAAGTCCGCAAGCCAATGGTCTTGATATACCTGAAATTTTGCCATATTCACATAATAAATCACAGATTCTAGTTTATAGACCGGGAAGAATGATGCAAAAAACCCAGAATTCAGAGGTACTTCTGGAATACAAATCACCCCAGTATAATTCAAAGATTTTCAAAATAGCTAATTATATTACACTCAGTATTTTGCATTTCAGAAAATACATTTTCAAGCCATTGAATTAAGAGATTTGGTAACATTAAAAAAGTTTGAACTTCATAAAAAAAAAATTCCAATTCCAATCAAATGTGATTGAAGAGATAAGTGAAAATATTTATTTAATAACATTTCAGTGAGAAAAGCTATTGCGAAATGCATAAAAATATTAAGAAGCTGTTCACTCAAATTAGGTTTCAAATTTCTCTGATTTTTCCAGAGAAAAATCTTAAAATATTCAGGTCAGCAAGTTTTTTATTCTCATAAAAAGTGAGAATATTATAAAATATTTCATTTAAAATGCTATATTTTTTAACAGGGTGGCCACTCAAATCAGTTTTCAAATTTTTTAATTTTAGAATGATATAAAAAATTTATTTGCAAAAATATATTATTTTTGATTTTAAAAATTATAAATCTTTAAAAAATTTGGAAAAAAACATGTTCTAAAATTTGCTAATTTCAGATTTTTTGGTACAGAGACAGAATGTTATTAATTATTAAGCATTACAATTTTGATCTTTCTGCCTTTATATCCATGGTCAAAAGAAAAAAAAATACCCCAAAGCATCGGAACAAACTTGAATGATAAATAGATTCAGCTCACAGACTAGAAGAAAAAATAACATACTTTTATGAACAGAAGCAATATCCTAACCTCTTTTACCACCTACATCACAATCTTTACCTTTCCTAAATTGCATAGTTCCATTATCTCCAAAAAAGTCAAAAGTTTCTCCATTCATTTAGCAACCATGGCAGAGTAATATGTGGCATTTTAGTTTTAACATTACTAACAGGGTAATAATAGAACAAATTTTGAGGCAAAGTATTGCAAAGCTGATGATATTTCAACAGTATGGCGATAAATTTCCACCTAAAAAATTTGGGTATAACGGATAGTAAAATAACTAAAATTCTGAAAATCAAAGAAAAAAATTCTAGTTTTTCCCCCCTGACTTTTCTAGTATGAAAAAAATTTCTTGATAATTCCAGGTGTGTGTGGCCATAACGTCAAACCCACGGTTTTAGTAAACTTTCTCAGTGGTCTCATTTAACTAACATTACTTCATACACTCATAGTGAACAGTTGAAAAATTGGTATTCTGTTTACAGTAGATTCAGTTTTTTTTAACAATTTCTTTAAATTTAAACTTGAATGAGTTGTGATTGCATTATATTTGCTTTTAAACTACAACAAACAAGTCATTAAGCAGCACAACCTTTTTTCCCTAGGTTGCAAAAGAATGAGAAATTTTCTCAATCTTGGAGAACTATATCAGCATCTAACTCTACTTGAAATTGAATTTTAGTACATTGAATAACATTAATTCCTTCCATAGAATGTAAAACTTATTTTTTTTAAAAATATTTTATTTATTATTGATTTAATCAGCTGATAATTTAAAAACCAACTATGTGTAACCATAATCTCTACTTTACAATCGTTGTTGAACAGCCGACCCAATTTTGGGTTTACGACTACTAATGTTGAACTCCGTAGCCCTATAATTTGTAGTTCAATCCAGAAGACAAAGGTTGGGAGAAATGTGCCTTTGCGGTTGAATTTTTGATGGAACTAACCTGCATTTGCCTTGCACGGACTACGAGAACCTCCCTTGATTAGCCTGACGGCAAGGGGACTCTAACCCATGATCTGTCTTCCACTGAGGATATTTCACATCAGCACTGTGGTCGGTGCAAGCCGGATGCAGAATTTTTATCAACCAGTCATCGCTAGGATTTGAATCAAGTTCACCTCATTGGAAAACAAACGCTCTATCCCCTGAGCCAACACAGCTCCGTAATCACTATTCTTACAAATTGTCAGATTGCTAAAAAACAATTTTTCTAGGATTTTGGACATACCATTTATAACTTAATATTGGGTCTGCAAAGAATCCACTATAACTGTGTTCGACTGTATTTATTAATGTTCTGTAATTACAGACATGCACAGCATATGACCCTCCTCATAATAATTTAAAAGATATTACTTTTAATAGAAATTACTTAACTCATTTATGAAAAAACGGCAACTTACTTTCTACCAACGTTTAAAAAGAAAAAGAACAGAGAAACTAAGAACTCAGAGACATTTAGCTTATACAACTCTTGGCCAACATATGTTTCCCAACACTAGAAAAGATTATCAAAAATTACATTACTTACTGGAATTATACAAATAGTAAAATGTGAGTACGAAGTTTTAAAAACACAAGATGATTAAACACAAAGATACACATTCAATGACAATACTTGAATAGTAACTTAGTGAATTTTTTGGTAATAGACATTAGCTATAAATCAAATCAATAAGTTTATCATAAATTAAATAAAACTTATTTTCCATTTATTTTTTTTATAAAAAACCAACTAACTGATTAAAAAACAAATTAAAATGATAATACCCGAAAATATGAACTGCCAACATAAATAATTTATGATACAAAATGGTAGTCTCTTCATGCTAGTACATAAATATAATCTTTACAAATAAATAGCTTATAGTAACTTAGTGAATTGTTTGGTAATAGACATTAGCTATAAATCAAATCAATAAGTTTATTATAAATTAAATAAAATTTATTTTCCATTTATTTTTTTTATAAAAAACCAACTAAGTGATTAAAAAACAAATTAAAATGATAATACCCGAAAATATGAACTACCAACATAAATAATTTATGATACAAAATGATAGTCTCTTCATGCTAGTACATAAATATAATCTTTACAAATAAATAGCTTAGTTTAACATAGCCGAAACGTGTAATGCAAAAAAAATATTTTCCTGCTGAAAATTTCTCTGTTACCGTATTTAATTTATAACTTTTATCAAGAGAAACAAATCTAATTAAGTTTTAAAAAGTTAAATTTTAACAAATTTCTATTATATATATATTACTATAACCTCTCAGGATTGACCACCCTCCGTACCACAGTAAAATGGTCTTTGATAGAGGTTGGTCGTTTTTAGGAGCTACCTCCACGACTTGATAACTGTTATCGAATGATTTTTTTGCTAGCGATTTTAATTTTAGTCATCCTTGTGAGGAAATACCACTTTTGTCCGTGTTACGAAAAGGGGGATCAATGAATACAGTTTAGCGTCTGTAAAAACTGAGACAATTATGCGTAAAAACCAATTTACTAGTTAGAAATTATAAAGCTATTTTAAATAAATAAACTACAGTCGGACTTCTATTTAACGAACTTCCATTTTACGAATTTCTCTATTTTGCGAATTTTTTCGTGGAACCAAGAACATTTTGGGAATTTCTTCGTTAAATAACTTCTAAATAGCAAAGTGAATTTTCTATTTAACGAATTTTTTTTTTGAGATCTACTTTCCCCATTTCCCAAAATATTTGAGAAAATTATTAACTTGTTAACGCATTTCATGGAGGAAATGACCTTGAACTGATTTTCGCATCCCCTTAACTTTTAGAGAAAGCAGTAAAATTCCTTTCCCTTTTTGTTTGCATTTCATACAGGAAATGCAATCCCACTAGAAAAGGGGGGAAAGGGTCAAATTCCTTGAATAGGAAATGAGCAGAGAAGATAAAAGGAATGGGTCATCAAAGTGTGTGGTCCCTGGTCCCTTATTGACATGTCCTATTATCTCCACCCCCACTGTTCACTTCCTTTCTAGAAAAACTTTCAACTTTCTCGTTGTTCACTCGGTAGAGCTCCTGTTTTAAGATTGCTGATCAGAGTGCTGCTTGTTGCTTTTCTTACGGCTGCAAAATGTCGAAGCGAAAGTGCCTGACTATTAAAGAAAAAAATTACAAGATAAAGGTGCATCAATTGCAATTTTAATTATTTCTAGTATCCATGAATTTAAAACCTATTCTACGTTGTGTAAGTATTTCAAAAGATGATTTTCTATTTAACGAATTTTCCATATAACGAACTTTTTTTCGGGATTTAGCGACTTCGTTAAATAGAGGTCCGACTGTATTATGTTTTTTGTTCAAGTTTGCACTAAATTTTATACCATAAAAATTACTTAGCTTTAATAGTTGAGAAGAGATTTGTTTGTTTGAGATGCTTGTTTTTTCTAAAAATAACTTTTTTTTCTAATTTAGCTTACAATTTTAGAAGTAAATCGTTGACAGCATAGTTTTTAGCATCAAATTGTAAATGATTGATGCATTCTGACAGCAACATGAGGTTGTATCCTCAAACAGAGCTCTCTTAATAAGAGCCATCTCTTCCCTTCTTTAAAAAAAAAAAGAGTTTTTTCCTGCTTTGGCTTTTAGTGATTCATGTATTGAACCCATTAATCATCATAAAGGGGAAGAGTGACGCTCCTCCTCAGGAAAAGAGGGAGATACAGCTGGCGCTCGTAAAAGAGGCATTTCCTGAAACCTTTTCATTCGAGTGTTAGGGAAAGAAGAAATAGGGTGGAAACGTTAATGTGGAGTGGGAGTCAAAATGGAAAACTTGAATAGGTCTAAAAGGATACACATCCTTGAGAAACATTTGTTCTCCTCCTGATCATGTAATACTTAGGAGGCAAACTTTCTTTCTATATTTTCTCTATACAAGTAAGAGGAAGTAAATTTTTCTCTTCCACCTACCCACCTTAATGAATGACGGAAATTTTCCCTTCTTGCTTGAATCATTCTAATACAAAATGGCGGTGAGAGCAATTACTATTTTCATAATTGTAAATTTTTTTTCGTTTTCTATATTTTAAGTAATAATAATTTTTTTTCTAATATTTTGTGTTTGATTGATTAGATATCATTCTGATACTAAAACATTATTGCCCAAAGAATAATTTAAATTTATTTTTTGCTTCTTAGATTCAGATCGTTTACTAGATCATTTTAAACTTTGTTTACCTTGTTAGTCTATCATACGGAAAAATCTATTATCCGGACTTCCGGAAGTCACGCCGATTCCGGATACGCGACTTTCCACTGTATTTATAAATCAGCATTTGAATAAATAATACCAGGCATGCATAAATAATTCTATCACCTTTTTTACGGAACAAAAAAATCTTAAATATTCAGAAAGTAGAAAATTTCGTTTACTATTAACTATGTCCATCAAAAAATATTAATACTGTTGTCTGGGTACCAATCTAGCTACATCACTGATCAACTTTCTTTACAGAAAAAATGTACATTTAATTTACACAGCAGAGGATTACTATGCATTATATGAGACCATACAATGAAAATTATTTTAAAAAAAATTTGGGGGATAAAACTAATTGGCAGAGTAGTTTGTGTAACCCTAAGTTAGCACACAAAATCTACTAGCGTGGAATTACGTGAAGAACTGCAATTTGTCTATCTCTGATTATATGGCTAGACAACAACATTAAAAGAGCTCACCATGGGTGCATGACAGTGAGATTTACCTTTGCCACAAATATCTACAGGTTGGCAAAATATTTGATGTTGAAAAGAAGCAACTAAAACAACAACAGACGAGAGTCCAATAAAAGCACTCCTAAAACACAAATATCAGCATTTTAATAAACAACATAAAATGAGCTATACACGGAACGTAAAAAACAATTAGCATAAACAATATAGCATATGATGAACAAAACATGAAAAGAAAAAAAACTCTGATTGTGCATCTAGAATGACGATTGATCTAATGAACGGATTTTCACATATCAGAACTTAATGGTTCACGAAGACTTTCATGGTTCACTTTATTTAATTCGAACATAATATGCTAATTAATTAGAACACACAATATTTTAAGTTACAAAATGAGACATAAAGGGCACTTTCTCTGAACGAACATACCTACTTTTTTGGCAGATTTATATTCCTGTCCCTCAAAATAGGAAGGGAAATTACTGTCATCTGGGAAATATGGTTCCAATTGTATGGTCTGGAGACTAGTCGAATGTGTGAACCTCTTATATTGAATTTTAAAAAATTTGTATATTTAAAATTCAATTTTTCCATAACTATTTGATCGATTTTGTTCAAATTTTGTACTTTGCTACATAAAGTTAGTCTTTTAGATTTGTAAACTTTACAATTCAAAATTTTTAGACTATAATTAACAAAACATTAAAAAACAATAATTAATAAAAAAATTATCCTAAAATTATCTTTAGATTAAAAAAAAAAAAAATGAGAACAAAAATTTTTCGATTTACTTAAAAATGTCTCCAGATATGGCAAAAAGTAAAATTAACATACAGTTTAGGTTGCTTTCCATATATGAACCATATTTTGTTGCAAAAATGATGGAGTTCAGCAGGAAACCGACACTCAGTGGTTTGTTTATTTATATTTAATCGCTATTCATAAGATTAATCTATGATGCATCGGTTAGCACGCCAGAAGGCATCACAACTATACTTTTTACGCATCTAAATAAAACCTCATAAGCATTGTTTTCGTTGGTAATTTATGTAAACAGACTTATATTTATTTATTCAGTTTCAACAAGTTTATCAAGTCATGTAAAAGTTTTCTTTGTCTGTGCTGTGGCCACTTATGTCTAAATGTTTGTTTAACAATGCATTTATAATCTACTGTCAAATTTAAGTTTAATTAACACATTGTTTTTACTTACCTCGGTCATTGATGTGCCCCCGCTATGTTATAATGTAACAACCAAACTGCGGTAATGACAAAATTCCCCGGTTTTTCCAAAATTGAACTATCCTTTTTTTGAGGGTAAGAAATTCCTCAAAAAAAATTTACATTAATTCAAAGAAAGTAAGTTTTTGTGCGTGATTTTATAAATAAAATATCATTTGCACTAATTAATTAATATATTTGAGGTCACCACTTTAAACCATTGAGTCCTAGTAAGTGAAGATTTGATCACTAAATTAAGTTATTTAGGGAACTGCACTTTGTTTTAAAATTTGATAAATGAGACAGATCAACAATTATGAAACTACAAGAATTGTTTCTGGATTTGCTGAAAATAGTAAATAAGCATCTTTATTAAGATCTTTTTAAAGATCTGTAATAAGATCTTTATTGATTAATGATAAATCCATAGTAAAATACTTTATTTTATTTTATAACCGCCACGGAACAGCCGACCCAATTTTTGGGTTTACGACTTCTGATGTTCAACTCCGTAGCCTTGTAATTTTGAACCCAATCCAAAAGACAAAGGAGCTCCTAGATCAAGCAAAGGGAGAAATTTGCTATCGTGGAGCTCTGTTTGATGGAACTAATTCCCTACAGTTGCGTTACATATTGAAGAAAACCACGAAAATCTCTAACAATTAATTTGGGGCAAGGTAACTCTAACCCATGATCCGTCTACCATTGAGGATATTTTACCTCAGCACTTTGGTCGGTGCAAGCGGGATGGGGACTTTGTATTGACCTGCCATTGCAAAGATTAAAACCTGGTTCACCTAATTGGAAGGAAAACGCTCGGGTGTGTAGCCAAATCTTTCAACAAAAAAATAAGCACCTTTAAAGCACTCAAAAACATTTTTAAACACTATACACATTAACAAAAGACAAAATAATTTTCAAAGGCTTTACATGATCATAATAAAATAACTAGTTTCTGATCTTTGAATCTAGAACTTTTTTTTAAAATTACATTAGCCACCATAAAAAGATCGAGAGATTTTTGGGTCCGATTTCAGAGGGTGAAAAATGAAGCTTGAAATTGAGAACATCTTGCAAAATGCAGCAGAGTTGCACATGAGAGTGCAAGAACCTCACCGATCCCAGCTCAGTAAGCGCAAGTATTTCACCAAACGTGTAAAATGGTTGGCGCTTTCATACGTTATGAACCAACTGTACGCCGAAATAGACTGTTGAATGAATTGTGAAAACGTTGAATAGAACAATGTGAAAAGCACGCTTTTGCATAATACGTGTCGAAAATTTACATGGTAAACAAAAAAATCTCATTTTCGAAAATTAAAAATTAACCACTAAAACACTGAATGAAATAAGCACCTTTAAGAGCTTTTAAAAAACGAAAATAAGCACCTTTCAAAAATGCTATGCACCATGTCTATCTCGAGCCATCACAGTTCAGGAATTTTAGGGGTCACAATACTTTTATAAACTTATCATTCTATCCTATTGCTTTGCAGGAGATTAGTGTTTGGTATTCATTTTTATTTAAATTTGCACTTTTCTCTTCCTTATAAAAGTTAGCAATTTATGCAATTTTAAAGTTGTTAAGTATAACTAAGAGGTAAGTGATAAGCCTATATAAGTATTATTATTATTAAAAAAAAAAAAAAAAAAAGAAATATTTGGGATTTTGATTATGCAGACAATTTAAGTTGTATATAACAGACGTGTCACTCCTGTTAGCTTCTTGGATTAATTCATTTTTTTATTTGTTACGGTAATAATTTTCATGTACATAAAAATGCTTTTGTTTTAATATTAAAATTTTTTCTATGAAAAAAAAGAACCTCTATTATGAGTATAGTTCGTTCACCAAGAGTTGGCACTTGGCTCCGCCTTCATCACGTGGCATCCGACGATACTATTTTGTTATTTTTGGGAGAAGGATGTGAAAAATCCTGATATTTGGAGATCGTATGACAAAAAGATTTATTCCCCCATCTTTATGTGCATTTTTTTAACATTAAATATTTTATAAATTTGATATCTCTCTTTTGAGTGAATATTTTGTATTTTTGAGACATTTTGCTGTGAAAACTGCAGTTTTTTAAATTTAAAAAATATTTAATTAGAGTAACGTAAGGTATAATAGCAGATGATACTGCGAATTAAGGAGGTGGAGCCAAGTACCAACTCCTGGTGAATGAATAATAAGCTAAGAATCGTGCCTTTTTCGGAGGGCATGAAGTCTGTTAACATATTAACATATGTTTGTGATATGTTTAACATGATATGTTTAACATATGTTAACAATTTTAACATATGCTTGTGAAATCTCAGCCATATATTGTACGGATGAGGCTATGTTGGGTACCTTTGAGATAAAGGTCTTGAGAAGTATTTTTGGCGGACATAATTAATAAAAAATTTACAAGATTAATTGAATGAGCAAATAAATATTTTCACTGCAAATCCACCTCTATTTTTTTTCTCTTTTTTTGTTTGCTTTCACTCCAGAATACAAGAAGCAGCGACGTCTGAATTACGAAAATACAAGCTAGCTCACCGATGGAAAAAAAATACGGAAAATCTTATTTTCTGTGCGTGAAATGGGAGAAAATAGCTAATATAAGTAAAAATGCGGAAGGGTTAGCAGCTAGGACGCAGCTGGAATTTTCTGTTTTTTTTTTAAAAAAATCGTAAATAAATATAATTTTTTTTACTTTAACGACTGAATTTTTAAAAAAAGCAAGATATTTATTTTTAAAAAAAAAACGAAACTTTTAGGGAATTGGAGTTTTTGATAAAAAGGCTAAAATTCGAGAGATAAAAGCGAAAAAAATCTCATCCCTGTATAAAGGTCAACCAGTTTTATCCCAAGGAAATGATTTTTAGAGAAACTTCAGTGGGAGGAATGAGGACTTCAATAATTTCGCTCTGCGGAAAATTAAATTCCGCATAAAATATTTTAACTTGTGCAAAAAAAACAAAAAAAATTCAGCGGAAATTAGCGGGAAAAATCTGAAGAAAAAAAGTGGAAATATGCGGAAGAATCTCATCCCTGTTAGAAGATCAAATCTAGAGCTTCATAACTCATATAATGGACCTGACATTATTAACTTTATTAAACGACAAATAATAAAATGGGCAGACCACCTTATCAGAATGGACGAAGATCGTACCACAACAAGNAGCAAAAAAAATCTCATCCCTGTATAAAGGTCAACCAGTTTTATCCCAAGGAAATGATTTTTAGAGAAACTTCAGTGGGAGGAATGAGGACTTCAATAATTTCGCTCTGCGGAAAATTAAATTCCTCATAAAATATTTCAACTTGTGCAAAAAAAAAAAAATCAGCGGAAATTAGAGGGAAAAATCTGAAGAAAAAATAAGCGGAAATCCGTGGAAGAATCTCATCCTTGTTAGAAGATCAAATCTAGAGCTTCATAACTCATATAATGGACCTGACATTATTAACTTTATTAAACGGCAAAGAATAAAATGGGCAGGCCACCTTATCAGAATGGACAAAGACCGTACCACAACAAGAGAGTTTTCAATGCCAGACTAGTTGACACACGAATAAGAGACAGGCCGAATCTGAGATAGATAGATGGCCTAGAAAAAGACTTTTCAGTCTTAAAAACTGGAAAACACTAGCAGGAAAAAGGTTAGCCAGGCACAAAACTTCTTGAGAAGACTAAGGCCCACCCTGGGCTGTCGTGCCATTGATGATGATGGTGACGAAGGCTAGTAATGCAAATTGAGTTAGAAAATTATGTTACTAGGTACCATTTAATATGTTTTTTTTTTTAACTTCAAAACATAATGACAAATTTATGGACATTTTCATTGTTAAATAGTTGTCAAATGAAGTTACCTTGCAAGAGATAAATTCACAGTTGTTCTGGCATGAAACTTTTCAAATTGTGTCACAAATGAGAAAAATAAAGGAGAAGCTGTTCTGATTGCTGTCACGGATAAAACAGGCATATATTGCAACATTAAAGTTTTAATTCCTGGTTGATAAGGATAATTTTCTTCCTGCCAATAGAAATATGTATAAGTAAAATAAATAATAATAATAGACAATTAAACAACAAGCTTAGAATAAATAGGATAAAAAAATAGTTAAAAAATAAATTATCCAAATTAAATAAGAGTTTTATTTTATTTAGATAATTTAATAAAATAAGAGTTTTATTTCATTTAGATAATTAAGTACATACATATTTAAATATTGCGGTCCCCCTAATTTGTCTAAAATTATTTCCTTTGGTACGGTTGTACACTATATTATAACATAATACCTTACCGAGTTTTATATTTTACAATGATACTTGATTAATTTTGGTAATAGCTACTATTAAAATAAAAATATAGGAAAAATCTTTCTGCGAGAATTCGGCATTGTTTTGCAATGTCACCATGATTCTGTCTCAAAAGATGCAACTATATTTTAGGCATTGATGAAATTTAAGAAAGTTTTGTGCACTATTGACAATGTATTTGTCATTTCACCACCACTATGAAAAAGTTCCTCAAAAACAGCAAATATTAGCAGTTTTGAAAATATTCTACTTTTGACTGTCACAATTATGTTAAATTGATTTAAATACAGCAATCGATAAATATTTTTACAAGCATGATTTTTTTACTTCGTTTTAATTGCTCATTGTGAAATAAGCATACACTTCATACCACAATAAATTCATGGATAAAAAAGAAATTGTACCCGCAGCTGCAAGTGAACAAGAGTGAATATCATATAATAGCTTCCAGAAATCAATGCTATAACTGACAAATTCACAAGAAATCTTATGCAATATAATTTTATCCATACGCTCTGTGATCTTGCTTCAGCTTTTTTTTTGTACACAATTTCTGACAAAGTTGTCTAAGAAAAAAAAAACATTATTCACTACTTTTTTTTAACAAATTAAAATTGATTTTTTAAAAAATGCTCTGTAAAGGGCACTTACTCTTATATTGTTAGTAAAACTTCTGCGATGAATTTCTGCATTTTTGCTACCTTGAATGCAATAATCCCAAGCAGAGAAAACCTCATTGGCAAATCGAGGTGCAGAATATTCCTGAGACATTATGGCTTCATAAACTCCAAACGAAGAACTGAAATATGAGATGCCTGGCTTCAAAACTCAATAAACATTATCGTCGTTTTCCTTTGTTAATGAATATAATACTTTTTGCTGTTCATTAAAAGATAAGGAGAAAATTTTTGCATTTAAAATTGTTCATTAAGATTTTTCTCTTGCCAAAATATTAAAAGCTAGCTAACTATTCACCTCAGTGATTTTTTTTTCTTTTTTTTTGTGGCTAATACTTAAATAATAGAATTTAATGAATGTTAGCTATTTTCTTATTCAGTCTCACAGCTTAATTTTTTGTACAGAGATGAAGGAAGGCAATTTTTTTTCCTTTCTTTTTGTACTGGAATCCAGAAACTATTTGTTTCACAGTATTTTTTCATTCTTTAATTAATTTTAAATTCACTTTCTCAAAATTCATTTCAAAAATCATTTGTTTACAATTTCTAACAAATTTGGACAATGTCAAACAAATGCCACTATCTGCTCTTGAAAGCAGACATTTTTGCATCACAAATGTGTCAAGATGTAATATGCCACACAGGAAAATGAAAAAGAAGAAATAGGGTGTACAACTGTGTTTTTAGGGAAGTGAAAATGGCTTGTTTCATTCCTAATAAGAGACATAAATATCGCAAAACAGGAAACTAAGAATCCTAATGATGAGTGTAAAGACATTAACCCTTTGACAGTTATGAACGAGTTTGGCTCGCAATCGACATAATGCGCACAAACGAGTTCCGCTTGGGAGCAAGATTTCGACCGTAATCGTTAGTAACAAGCACTACTCATGTAGTGAAATTTTCCCCCATTGCACGCTGACGAGCTTAGTTCGTTCGCCATTATTATTCTGCATTGATTATGTTAAAAACGAATCCTACTCGTGAAACGTAGTTAGCTTTACTGCCTACAGATGGCAGTATGGGTTCCATGAATTTCTTTTCATAATGAACGGGGAATTCATTTTTTTACCTTGTTTTTTTTTATGCATATTTTGGCGCGTTTTTTTAGGATGTTTGTAAAGTAAAATGGCTGAAAAGCGAAAGTAAGATAATTATGATGATGATTGTGATACAGAAAGCTTATCAAGTTTTCAGTCTGATGAAGACTTTGTTCAGAGTACTTAGGTAATTACAGGGTATCTGCTAAATTTTAGATTTTCAAATTCATGACTTTCCATGACTAATTCCAAGAATTTTTCATGACTTTACGAAGTTACTATTTTCTCCAACAGAAACACAATAGTAAATTTAAAAAAGCTTCATAATAACATTAATTGAAATTATAGGTGTATCCAAAACTGTTATACTCTGCATCTTCATATTTATAGATTTTTAATTTAAAAAACACGTAAATAAAGATCTGAAGCAATAAAATAGCTGAAAAAATACAAAAGTAACTTTTTGTTCTTTTATTCTGCAGAATTACATTCTAAAGATACTTTTCTTGTTCGAGGGAAAGAAGAGAAATACTTCTGATTTTTCTGTTCTCATTTCGGAATAAAACAAATTCGCCAATCACTGGCTTGCTTCTGCTAGAATTTTAAATTGATAAAATAAAAAAATAAATAATAAAAATTCTGAAATCACAGAAGCTTCACATAATTTGCTCAAAGAAATCACATAATTTGCTCAAGAAATGACGTTTTTTTTTCTTTTCATTTTTTGAAAGAACACAATTTTTAAAGAACATGATAAAAACATTTAATATTTAAATAAAATATGACTGTGAGTGGGGAGTTTGTTACAATTTCAGATATTCGGAACACCAAGAAATTGGGGGAGGGGTAAATTCCAGTTTAATAACTAGATTTTTCGACGACCTAAATTCATGACTTTCCATAACTTTTCCTTAAAAAATAGTTAAAATCATGACATTTCATGACAAATTCTGTTCAATACCGAAATTCATGACTTTTCAGGTGCGCGGATACCCTGTAATTACTGTATTTAAATGCTTTATAAAGTTTTACATTAGTTGTATTTATTTAATCCTTTCAATTTAATATTTGTCTTATATTTATAATTAACTATTATTTATAAAATTGATTATAATCATTTATAATTTACTATTAATAATTATCATTTATTTATTTTAAAGTACGTAAAAACTGTTATTTTTGTACTACAAATACTTTAAGAATTTTTTAAAATGCGTGAGGCGAGCTATCTACGGCATCGCCAGAGAAGGGTGACATTTTCGGAAGAACGGAGGGGGAAAACAGTTGCCACTTTCGACTATTGTTTGCTCGTAATACTGTAGGAATTAATGAAACTAAAACTGCTCATTTCCCTAACCGTCAAAGGGTTAATAATTTTTATAATAAACCTGATTTTTATTTTGATGGTTCTGAAAATTGGGATTACATTTCCTTGTAAATTTGTAATAAGTATGTTTAATTTCATATTTAATTCTTCCTAATTTTATTTACTTTTTCTTTAATGATTACGCATGAAGACATTTTTCATAAAAACAAACATATAATGAAATTCGGTTATTAACAGTTATCTAATGTAAAATATATTTTTTGCAATAATATTTCTAAAAACTATTTAATTGAATTGTTTTGTTTCATTTATCGTTCACATTCCCAGAATTACGATTATTGATATTTTCGACACAGATCACTTGAAACACGTTGATCTTGTAGTTCCACCGTTTGTAATCAGCATTATTAAAAGAGTACAGTTTTAACTGCTGCCCACAAAAGCTTATGTTATTGTCAAAATTTGAGAGAGAGCTCAATCAGTGTTTACAGTGATAACAAGTGCAGGGCTCCCAACATATTTTAGACAATAAAAAAGGGAAAAGAGGACCATTTGTAGCAAAAAGAGGACCTAGGAGGACCAATTAAGACTTTAACAAAAAAACTTAGTAACATTTACAATTGTAACAGTTGCTATTGTGGCACCCCTGAATACAGTTTGACTCGATATCTTTACCAAAAAATTAACAAACATCAGTCATAGAAATTTAAAAACAGAATCCTACTAAAAATATATAAATTTCACAAGTTTCCTTTACCTTAATTTACTATAAAAACAGCTAGATTTTTTTTCCAACCTCTCTTATTTAATCTCCAAAGCAAGACTGGAAATTTACAAACATGATAAAAAACAATATAAAAAATAACAAATAATCACTGAAGTAAACTAACTTTATATTTAAACATTCTCAATACTTATTTTAATCGTACAGAATAGAGAAATCAATTAATACAGAAAAAAACATTAATAATACATCTGAAGCTACACATACGCTATTGGTAAAATTAAAAGAACAAAACATTGCAATGCATAAACTAAAGCATATTTTGTACTAGTGAATGAATGGTTAAAACAAAAATAAACTTACTATGCCATCAGTATAATGAAGCAGAATAAATAGATCGCAATGTATACAAATACAAATGCTAAAGGGACATTATAAACGAATCCTCCAGAAACAGAAGCTATGGGATAATTGCCTAAAAACATAATTGTTGGCTCCATCCATCCCTACAAGTATTAAAACACCCATAAGACTTATTCTTTAACACTAAAAACAAATCAACACTTATTATATACCTATTTCAACCATAGCCGGTCAAATGACCGCACTTAATGTTTCTTGATTGAATGCATGAAATATGAATGTTAGGAAGGAAATAAACTAACAAACACTTTATTATAATTAAACAAAATTATATATTGCCAATTTTTATGCATTACAAACACAAAGAATAAAAATATTTAATTCATTGCTCAGCGCATTTTCTTATATATACAGGATGCTTCCATTGTACATTTTCCGTAAACATATTTCTTCTAATTATTATTATTTCTATAATTCTTATAATTATAAGAATATATAAGAATTATAATTATTATAATTAATATTATTTTGTCTAAGAATTAGTGCTGTCATGATTGTTTTGACATTTTAAAAACTAACAGTTAGTTAGAAATGAAGGAAAGCTATCAAAATAAAATAAAAGCTACTCACCAAAACATTTAGTTTGTGTCACTGTTTCTGACACAAAAATGCCAATCTCAAATTTTGGGTACTTTCTTGAAATTTAAATTCACAGTTATTCTGATTGAACTAACTATGCAAGTCTTTGCAGAAATGTGCAACTCATTGAATGCAATACGCTGAACATGCATTACATTGGCATTTCTGATCCAATAACCTTATAAAGCAATAAATTGTTCTCCCGGTCAAATGACCAGTTGTGGTAGAAATAGGTATACGAGTAGTATTATTCGAAACAAAATACTAAAAAAATGTAATAATAAAATATCAACTGCATATAGTGGTTAGAAAAGTCATGCAGTCAAATGTGCAAAAAACAATAAGATAAGTTCATTTTCGATACAATAGTTCAAAACGGTCATTTGACTGGTTAGGGTATGTTAAAATAATCCTATAAGTTCTTTATTATTATCTTTCTTTTAATTAGTAAGCAGCTAACAAGGTTAGTCTGAAACATTCAAACATAAGAAAATGGTTAAAATTCTAGAAAAAGTAATAATAACAGCTGTTAAAACTTCATAAAGAAAAAGAAAAACTTATTGGCGTTACATTCCAAGAAAGGTCAAAGTACTGTACCTATCTTGACCTTTCAATATGATACATCATAAGCGGTTAAGTGTTTAACTTAATAATGTAAATGTTTATTAAAATATAAAATTTGCTAACTTTGACTTTTTTAAAAATTTTATTTTTCCCAATGATGCGCCTCAAAAAATTAAACATGAATCGAACGCTTTCTATCGATTAAGTTAGTGGCTTTAGAAACAACTAATTTGATTCATTGGTGAATCATTGTTTACATATTACAGAGAATCAGAAAATGATATTTTCTAGTTGGGTCGTAAAAATATGAAATTATTTCTATTCTTTTCTTTAATGTTTTAAAATCGCATTTATAATTTGTTAGAGATAAATTTTTATTGTCATAATAAAATTTTTATATATATATAAAAAAAGAAGAAATTTTGTCAAAATGTACATCGCCTTTGGCACACCACTGCTTTAATTAGTGGAATCACTTTCACATTATATGTAAGAAAGAATTTACCGTTCCTTGAAGTAGATTCTGTAAGTTATCAAAGAAACTTTTGGTCTTTGCTTCCTTAATCTCTTTAAAGTACTTCCTGTGACAATATTTTACAATATCTTTTTCACTCATTTTAGAATGATTTGTGACAAGAGCTAAGGAAAAAGTTTGCTTTTTTTCAAATACCTATAAAGTTTCACAATATAAGTAAATTTTTAATGATTAATTTCTTAAAAATATAAAACACTGATTAGAAAAGAAGGGAAGCATTTAACCTAACATAGTTGTGAGATGCACCCTATAATAAAACTAAAAATAGAAATTTTGGGAAATTGAAATATTAATTGGTCAAATAGGTACTAATTATTTGGACATGAAATGGTTTATTTTAACAGTAAGATTTCTATGAGACGTTACTTTTTAAGAACAATAAATTTAAAGTAATAAGCCTTGTTGTCCAGAAACATAATGAACAGACCAAACATTACCAAATAATATTTCTTAATACATCTTTCAGGGCTGCCACAGACAAAAATGATCAAAATAGTTGCTTTCAGTAGCCTAAAGCATGAAAATAGTAGCCGGAAACTAGGAAAATAGTTGTCTAAATAAGAAAAAAAAATCATCAAAAATATGACTAAAATTTTGTTAATGATTTAATTGTCATATGCCATGATCCATTTAGTCAAGCTGGTGGAAAATATGATAATTTTTATATAAACTTTAATGTTCTAGCACTATTTTCCCTTTTCTCAATAACTGATCCAGGAAATATATATATGTATATCGTGAAAGGTGATTACTCAAATTCGAAATTCACGCCTCGTAATATCGTATTAATTATTTTTCTTTTTTAATTTCAAAAAAATCATGCGGAATTTTGTAGCAACCATTGAAAAGACGATCAAGAAATGAAATAGACTTACAATGGAATCTGGGCAGATTGAACAAATTAAAAAGTCAAGACTTCAAATTTGCAATTCAAAATTTTTTAAGAAAAAAAAAGTTCAGTGTATTCAGAATTTGTCTTGCAGGGCGCAGATTTTCCATCCAATTTATGACTTAAAAAAAAAAAAAAAACATCGCTGAAAGTACAGAAAAGTCTCCCAATAGTCTCCTTTTTCTGAAAATAGTTGCTTTTTTAGCCTTTTCAGGCAAAAAAAAGTTGCCACAGTTGCTGCATGTCAAAAATAGTTGCATTTTAGTTGCCTGTGGCAACCCTGATCTTTTAAAAAATATAACTTATGTTAAATACAGTATAACGTCTCATATCCGGACGTTCCTTTTCCGGAAGGATCGATTTCCCGGACACTTTTTAACAATCAAAATGAACAAACATCTCTTCATCTTCCCCTTTCTTTAAAAAAAAAGTTTCTTTTGACACGTTTTCTCTTTTAGCTTGCACTGAACCCCTGGTTTATGCATTGAACCCATAAATCACAAAGGGGAAGAAGAGAAGATCTACCAAGATCATTGAGTGACCGTTAGCGACACTCCTACTCTGTAACGCAGGAAAAGAAGGAGATTTGTTTTCAAAAGACCGCAACTGCGTCCCCTCCCCTCTCTTTTCCTATGCAGCTGGCGAGTAAAAGAGGCATTTCCTGGAACCTTTTTATTGAAAGAAAAGGGTAAACGCTGCAAGCATTAACGTGGAGGGGGAGTCAAAATGGAACATTTGAATAGGTCTAAAAGGATACATGTCCTTGAGAAATTTTCATTCCTCCCCTGACCATGTAATATTTAGGAGGCGGGGGGAAAAAGGGGGTAACATTCTTTCGTCAGCAGATTCGTTCAGTCATACAAGAAAAAATAAAGAGAACTCCATCAGCGTGCCCCGCTTTTATGCTTGATTGATAGCCAATGATTGGAAAGAAAACAATAATTTGTCACTTCCCCTTCCTCAACTTGAATGATCTCCTCTCTACACTTATTTTCTTTCACAAATAAGGAGAAAATGAATTTTTCTCCTCCACCTACCCACCTTAATGAATGACGGGAATTCCCCTTTCTTGCTTGAATCATTCTACTAGTTAAATATGGCGGATTATTATTTTCATAACTGTCAATTTTTTTTTTCGTTATCTATATTTTAAGCAATAATTTTTTTTCCTAATATTTCATATTTGATTGAACGGATAATCTAATACTAGAACATTATTCCCCTTAAAAATAATGTTTATTTATTTTTGCTTCTTAGATTTAGATCATTTTAAGCTTTGTTCCAGAATGAAATGAATTTCCCGTTCCTGCTTGAATCGTTCTAGTTCAAAATGGCAGATTAATATTTTCATAACTGTGAAATTTTTTCGTTTTCTATATTTTTAGCAATAATATTTTTTTTTCTAAAACATATTTTATGTTTGATTGATTAGATATTCTAATACTAAAACAATATTCCCCTTAAAAATAATGTTTATGTTTTGCTTCTTAGATTCAGATTGTTTATTAGATCATTTTAAGCTTTGTTTACCTTTGGGGTCAATTATACGGAAAAATCTATTATACGGACTTCTGGAAGTCCCACCGATTCCGGATACGCGACTTTACACTGTAATTAAAAGCAAAAGCAACATATTAGAGTCTTTGAATAAAACTTTACTTAAAACATTACAGCTGTCTAAATCGCATCTCACGTGCAGTCTTAAATTGTACTGCAATGATTTAGGAGGAACATATTAACAACTGACTAGATTGTTTTTCAAGACTTCTAAACCGCAGTTAAAAAAATATCTTTCATATGCTATGGACCGACGGCATGCCTAAAAGTAAAGTGTTTGAATGAATTGTGAAGACATTTAATAGAACAACGTGAAAATTACGCTTTTGCATAATACATGGTGAAAATCAACGTTGTAAAGTAAGAAATCTCATTATCAAAAAGAGAAAATTATGCTCTTTTTAAAAAATTTCCAATAAAAAAAAAGTACTTTCAAGGGTTTTTAAAGAACAAAATTCAAAAATAAGCACCTTAAAAACGCTACACACCATGACATTTCTTATTAAACAATTGCTATTGTCGGTCATTCATTTAATTTTAGTATTTTTGAGGTTGGAACAAATTAGGCTTCCAGTTTCCTAAATCACACCACTTGTACAATAACAATTTTTAGCACTTACTTTTCAATTATTATTACCAAAAAAGAATACTAATTTAAGTAGCTCGGTGACTGTATTTTATTAAAATATTTCAAATATAATTGTCAAAGATTAGTGTCAAATGAAAAAGATAAGGCATTCAAAAGTAAATAATAAGTGCAAAAAGGACAAATAATCGATTATTAGAAGTAAAAAAGAAAGTAAACATACTTCATACAAAGGCTTTGTGTCATTAATAGGAAGAGTAAAATTTGGAGGAAGTGAATATACAAACGGCGTGAGTAGAGTGCAAGGCAAAACAATAAAGAAAATGATCAAAACTAGCATAAAACAATTCATTAAGAGAAGCCACCTCAGAAACACAAAATATGATACAGTTCCAGCACCAAAATAACCTAAATAAAATAATTTTATTTTTTGAGTAAAATGTCTTTTTCAAGCATCAGAGGGGAAAGAAATGCTTGTAATTTTTCGATTCTTATTTGCGAAAAATGAAAAATAAAGAATATTGAAGCAAAAAATTTCCTTTCTGTAGAAATTTTTGAAAGATTTTTCTTTCCCTTCCAGAGGGAAAGAAATGTTCGTGACTTTTTAATTTTGGTTTTCGTTTCTTTCACGGATTTTACGATTTGTAATTATTTTTTTATGTGATGATGATTTACAAAATGCAAAGAAATAAATAATTAGTGTGTTTTCCTGTTACAAAATGTTACAATATTGCCCGAGATATTAGAATTAAAAAAAAATATTACACATTCATTTTAAAATTAATACATACAATTTTATTATACCCAAATAGGATTTTCTTTGCGAATACAACCTTTCTGTTACCTAAAATTTAATTAATAACATATATATTCGTTATTATTAAAACAGGGTGTATAGCCAAATTATTCAATAAAAAAAGCACCTTTTAAGCACTTTTCAAGCACTCAAAAATATTTTTAAGCACTTTAAAAGTATCATAATTATGCAGGGTTGGAAAGTTTTTGACAATCAACGGTTTTATCTTGTTTTAACCATCATGTCAAAAAAAAAAACTTTTCGCATTGTTTCTGACAACTGTCAAAAATCATGAAAGTTTGAATCATGTAAAACGAATATTGTTTTCATACGCTACGGATTGACAATACGCTGAAATAGATTGGGGTCGAATTATTGAATAGAACAATGAATAGAACAATGTTAGCTATGTCTTTTTACATAATTCAAAGTGAAAATCTCATTTTGAAAAGGGAAAATTAAGCACTTTTTAAAGACACCCAATGAAAAAAGCACTTTTAAGGTCTTTCAAAAATCGAAAATAAGCACCTTTAAGCGCTTTTTAAAAACGCTACACACCCTGTAAAAGTATCTTGAAGAAATACATTAGGTTTGTTGCAGAAAACCCAAAAAATTCTGCCACAGTGATAATGAGTATGGCTAATAACGAGAAGTCTGTCATTATGGCAAATTTCCAAGACAATGCTAACGTTAAAGATATTATATGCTTATAAAAAATTACTAGCCTTCTGCTTCAAATGGAAGACATTTTTTCCTGTATCAACACAAAAAAAGCTTTCTCCCTTCTTACCATTTTAACCCCAATTTAGGAAGCACTTGTGTAGGTGACCACCAGCCAAGTTATCTCATAAAAAAAAGAAGTTCTGTTATTTGTAGAACAGGCACTTCAAAAGAGTGCTCTCACAACTTATTATTAACATTCATTGATCACCATTTCATTCTCTTTTAGCAAGTTCCAACATTCCTGTTGTAGACATTAATGCCTTTTACAAAGTCAGAACAATATAATTCACCCTACAATTAGCAGATAAAAACAATCTAATCCAGATATGTTTTTAATTGAAAATGGTTTCTCAAAATAAAACTGCTATTTTAACAATGTTGCTTATAATGACAATTTCACCTAATATTAGAAATTTTTAGAACGAACAGCTGTGAAACATTTTACGATTGCAAGTATCAGGTAATATTCAGCTCTTGTGATATATTGCATCATACAAAGCAAAAAAAAATACTTTTTTTAATGAAGAAAATTATTTTTAATACACAAAGAATTTTTAATGTACAACAGACTGTTATTACCAATCAAAAATATTAATGAACGACCATTAAATACAAATCAATTTCTTCCCTTCAAGCCTAAAACTGAAAATAGTTTAATTTTTTTTAAAAATTCTCTATAATATTTTTGTTTTGAGAGATTGCTATGAATTTTCATTATCAGAAATGGAGACTCTAGAAGTTGTTAGAAAGAAAGAATAAGGATATTTAAAGAATTTATTCAAGAAAATTCTATGAAAAGGATTATCATTGCCAATAAAATATAACTTTTTTATTAGTAGTGCCCCTTAAGATAAAATGATTTTCTTGAAAATCACATAAATTTAACTAATTATTTTACAATTATATTTTATTTAAGATATATGACGCTTTTTTTGAAAATGTCGTTATTCATTTTACTCTCAATTGGAATTAGTTCTTACTAAAAGCTGATTTTAAGATTTAATATTTTATTTGATATTTATTTTAATCAGAACTTATTAACTGTTATATTTGAAACTAAATAAAAAAAATTTTTTAAAAAGAATTATATACTTTCCAACTACTACAGAATTTCCAAAATTTTAGAAAATAATTTTTCTAGAGGCAGCAAATTTAATATAGTGATATTTAATTAAATCAGAATTAAAATAATTATGTCTACATTTATAAATAAATAGTTGAAACAAATATATAAAATGGCATAATCAGTTTTCTAAAAAATGGTTTTAAAAAAATTCAATATGTTTTAAAAATTGATTTCAGCTAACCTTCACTGAAAAAATTATTTTGCAAAGGCCTCAAATGTTGGTGGATAAGAAATTATAAACTACCCCTAAGTTGGCCATTTTAAAAAGAATAACCACTCTTCATCATACAAGATTTAATTCCCTTTTCTAAAAGTAATAAATAAGAATTTGAACTTTTATACAGCTCTATGAAATTTCAAAATTCAATTAATGAGTTTTTTTCCTTCGTTATACCATTCAAGAATCCTAAAAATTCTGAAATAAAAAACTGAATAGAATAAGATAAGATTCTTTTTATCAGTTTTGTACAATTTGTGGATGGTCCCCCAGTTTAACATAGCAAATTTTGAAATTCTAGAATTGTTAATTATGTTTCATAAGCCAGGCAAAGAAGGAAGAACTCAGTTCATTTGTAGAAAAATGGTATGCATGTAATATGAGAATATCTATGTTTTCAAACAATGAAAAGAGTACCTAATAAAGTTTTTTTTTAAATGTAATATTACAGTAGAGAGCCAATTATTCGGGGCCAGCACCGCTATTTTGGTTGTCTATATTTCTCGCTTTTTTAAATTAGCTAAAAAGTGTCGTTTATCGATGTTTCATCAAACTCACATTACAATGAACTAACACAGTTTATAAAGAGAAAAGAAAAAGCTCTCTTAAATTTTTTTTAAAAAAAAGGTAGAAGAATAACATTAAAAAAAAAAACATTTTTAAACTTAGACAAGAAAAACAAGTTTAAAAATTACAAAATTGACATATTTTTTTTTCCGAAGATTAATTAAAATCACCAAATTAACCAATAAAAAACAGAACCAATGATTTCATACCTAATAAAAAGGAAAAAAGAAAACGATAAAATACAAGAAAAAATCACTTATCATATTAAATAAAAACAACACTTGAAAATTACCAACTGGAAACAATAGTTAAAAATAAAAAGGCACCAACATAATTATTAAAGCCCTGGACAAGGCAGGATATTATAAGATCAATAGAATGAAAAAAAGAACTTAAATCTTAAAATTAGATAATAAAAAGAACTTATTTATTCAGTAAGAAATTTATTGTTAAAAGAAAAAGAAAAAACTCCAAACACAGTGGAATCAGAAATGTATCACTTTTAAAAAGAGAAAGCTTCATAAAATAATTGTTTGCCGTTAGTAATAAATAATTGTATGCTTAGATTAATAAAAATCTTCTCCTTTCATTTTTATATAAAGGCAGACAAATTTTAATGAAAGCAGATGTGATTCCACATCAAGCCAAATTTGCAAATGATACCACACTTCTGAAGAATCAGAATTCATTCAATTAAAAAATATTGTTTCGTTAATAGATGTCAAATAGATAAATATAACAGACCATAAAAAAAAGCATTTTATTTGTAATAACTAGTCATAATAATAATGTATTATCTGAAATTATAAAACAATAATTTGGAATAATAAATCAAGGATAACTAAAATTGAGTAACCAAAGTTTATTTTAAAAAAATCCGTCAATGCTCTTAAAGCAGAAGTTTCAAATTCCTTAATTCGGACATTCAACTGACAGCACTCCAGGGCACTATGAGGGTTGGATTGGGGGGGAAAAATCTGACTTTTTTTAAATCTTTTGTGCAAGCTCATATTACTATATTGAAAATGGAAAAATGAAATCCTGCAATTTGTTAGAGTGTCGAATTCTCTGACAATGACGACTCCTGGTTTTGAGGAAAAATTGCCTTTTCCCTTGACGATTCCCGGGGCTTAAATCCGTCATTTTACTTTCAGACTATATAGTATAATTTTTAAATCTTTATTCCTGACTCAATATTTAACAAGATCTGGGTTAAGAAAAGAGGCATACTTATTTATTATTTCACTTTTATTTTTTACAACATTACGTTATTGTAAGGAGTAAAAAATGTTAGTCATTAAATGTGCGGCGACTGAACTTAACTTAATCATAATGGCAATCAATAACTGTCTCTGTCATTCACTAGAAGAATCCTAACCGCTATTTGTAGAATGACGCGCTGCTCGTTTTATATTTTCCCTTCTTATACTTGACGTAAAATTATTGAATTAAAATGCAAAATAAATACTAATTAAATGTAAACTCAATCTAGTCATCTCCTGGACACAACCAACCACCACAGTGGTCACAGTTGGACATTCAAATATTAAGGAGATTATGTTTCAAATGGAATAACTTGTTTCGGTTTGGATATCGAAAGTTTCAGAAAAACGGTACTGTGGCTTTTCAATTTTTGTTTCTTAATTTCTGCATACTGTATATTAATTTAATTTCATTACATATATACATTATTACTTCTAATATGCAGGCAAATAACGCTGAAAATACTCACGCAGATAAGGTTGCACTTAAATTAACCCCCTTTTGGCGTACAAATATTAAACTTTGGTTTTTACAAGTTGAAAGTGCATTTACATTAACTAACATAACATGGGATGAAGCTAAATATGCAAGTCTTATTGCACATATCGATGCAGAAACGCTATCTCATGTATCAGATTTGTTATTTTTACACCCTGCGACTAATAAATATACTTTAAAAGAACGTCTCATCACCAAATTTTTGGATTCTGAAAATA